ACCTTGAACTTCAAATGAAGTTTGAGTTGCAATGCTACATTCTACGGGACGCGGTGGCACAGGGGCTAAGACGCTGAGCTTTGTCGATCAGAAAGGTCGGCGGTTCGAATCCCTAGTGCCGTGTAACGGAGTGAGCTCCCGTGACTTGCCCCAGCTTCTGCCAACCTAGCAGTTCGAAAGCACGTAAAAAATGCAAGTAGAAAAAATAGAAACCACCTTTGGTGGGAAGGTAACGGCGTTCCGTGCGCCTTTGGCGTTTAGTCATGCCGGCCACATGACCAGACAGTGGTGGCTCTTTGGGTTTGAAATGGAGATGAGCATCGCCCCCTAGAGTCGGGAATAGCTAGTACTTATGTGCAAGAGGATTTATTAAAATAAGCTTGCTTCATTAATCAACCTTTTTCATGCATCTTAATTTTTTTAAAAGGTTGCAGTTTCTCTGGATATAACGAACAGCCAGCTAATGGAGTTTGGCTTTCTTGCAACAGCAAAATTCAATGTCGTGCCATCCACCAAATCAAAAAAAGTCCCCTTCACCCCCTTATGATTGATTGTTCTCTCTCTCTCTCTCTCTCAGCCGCTATTTAAGCAAAGCTTTCCACATTTTGGCTCAGAAGAACAAATTCTCCTCTTCATTCATTAACGGCATCATCTCCCATACCGAAACCGAGCGTGCTGCAGCTGCTTGGATGTTATTGGCAAAAGTGGCTGGTTCCTCGCCCAAGTTGGACTATTCCAAAATCATTGATGCCTGGGACAGCATCAACAGGTGAGCGAAATCTGGCACAAAAGTGAGGAGTGAGCATACGGCTGGAGTTAAATATGAGAATCAAGTACTTCTTCTGGTTTTGCCCTAGCACTGGGTTCTGTTGGAAGAAATCTCCATCTGGTTCAGTTCCATGTGGGGAGAAAGACACTGGAAACATGGTGGCAGGTTGGAAAGATGGTTTATAGATGAACGGGACCACATGGGCTTGAGGTCCTGGGCAGCTGACCACATGGAGTGGAGAAGGAGGGTTATTTATAGCCTCTCTTGGGCTTTGCCCTTGAGCTTCCTGTTCCTGTGGCAAGGGCATGTATTCTATTGGTTGCTGTCAGACTCCCATGGAGCTATGCAGGGGTTAGAGCTGATTTTGTAGGTTATCTGACTGAAACTTGGTTGAAACCTGGGCTGATGCAATGCAGTTCCTATTGTGGCTGAATGGCTTTGCCCTGAAGAATAATCCCACCACCCTAGATCTGAAGATCTTTTGTTTCGTAGATAAACTGGCCCAATCCTTCTCCATGGACACCAGATATCTGCTGGGGAGTAGGGAGCTGAGGTTTCTGTCTTTAGAAACATGTTTCTCCTTTAGGGAAAATATAATATTCCGCTTTTTTATCTATCTATCTATCTATCTATCTATCTATCTATCTATCTATCTATCTATCTATCTATATCTATATCTATATCTATATATCTATATATCTATATATCTATATATCTATATATCTATATATCTATATATCTATATATATATATAACCAACACATA